CCTGCCTGTGAGACACACCCAAGAAAACCTCAAACTCTCTCCGACCTTAGACCACTAAACAAGTACAATAGATGGTTGCTGCAAATGGCTGCTAGTTAACTCCAGCTCTTTCTATGCGCCTCATCTTCCCCAGCCCAGCACTCACTCAATGAGGTTCATCCTCAAGGAACCAAGCAGAATCTAGGCCGCCCAGCGGGATCCCCTCATCATCATCGGGGTTCAGCTTGATACGCTTGATTGCCACGACCTGGCGATGAAGCAAGCAGTCGGGGCAGGTCAATATCGGCTGGTCAGGCTAATTACAGAGTCATGCCAGCATGTAGCACGCTGAAACACCGAGCTCAATACAAGAGGAAGGAGATTAGGCCACAATCCTGGAGTTTTAGATCATCGCAAGTTGTTTACGTGGTTGGTCAAGGTTTGATGTGTTCATAGCAAAAAAACACTTCATGTGTATCAACTATCCTGTATCATCTGTGTAACATCATTGTTGCTTGAACATCCACAAAAGTCCGGAGCGATTCTCAACAGCTCAACACTCTCACAAAGCTCCCCCTTTTCCGCGGCCCCCACGGGCTGATGCCCCAGAGGCTGGGCTCTAAGGTCGCTGAATCTCGAAGTGTCACTGTGTCCGGCTGAAGGAGAGTCAGCGGAAATGGTGGGTGTCTTGTTTAACTTAGATCTGAGACCAAATGAGCAGAAATCCACAACTATCCCCATGTTCCCTCAATCGATGGCAAAAACATAATGTATCCTATACCCATACCGCCTATACCTAAGGAAGGATACAGTATGATACAGTGACAGCAGGAGGTCGCTTTCGAAGGTATCATAATACTGACATAGATATTCTGTGGAGGCAGTTGAGGGCTTCTCAACCACCACTGCACAGTCACCTTCACGCATCTGGATAGAAAGGTCTACTAAGTCTTGCGCCAATTGGTATCCATCCTTGACTACAAGTTTCTCTTGCCATCCCTTTGAGACCTTTAACCCTTAGACTCAACATCCTCTGGCTCACCAATGAACACTGTCCAGTATTTGGCGGATATAGCATGATAAACTATAGCAATCCGAGACATGGGCGTTAGCGGGTCAGGCTGGACAAGTTGACATGTGCTGCCGTCTTCAGGCAGCACGACCCCTCCGATTCAGGCTAATCATTCCCCACGTCAAGTCCTCAGGCAGGCCTTCAAGCTCTTGCATTCTTGGAGAACACTCACTAGAAGGGCATCCAGATATAGAAGAACACCTCTCTGGTTCATCATTAGTTTTGCTAGATTCTTTCGGCTGCTGCCCCATGCACATCATGGTACAACACATTATTAAGGGTTGGGGGTTGCAGCAACACTCTTAGTGATAGAACTCATTCCACGTTGTTTGCAGGCAAAAGTGTTCTTTCCAGACCGTTTAGATGCATCTCGAAGCACAAACCAAAGGTTCTTTGTCTGACTGGTACCTGCTACCTGCACCAAAACATTGCCCATGACTGTGACAACGAACACACCATGAGGTTCTCTTAGCAACGGACACACATGATTCTTTAATAGCTATAAATACACGAAATCGACACACTGAATTCTGATGAATTCTTAATATATAGAATATTCATGTAGATAGAATGATGCAGAATGCAGCTGTTCTTCTTTGGTTTATGTTACTTATTCCAGGAGCTCTGGGCAGCTTGAAGCCTGCAGAGGCTTCCCTAGAAGCAGGCCGCTCCCCTGCGCTCACCTGGACACACCGGCGAACGCAACGGCCGCGCTGGGTCCGGAGCTGACGAACATGCCGCGTCGGACACCAGCGATGTGCGTCAGTCTGGATGGCCCGGAGCATTGGAGGTGTTGACATGGCAAGACCAAAGGACGCTACTAGGGGCTCCTGGCGTTACTACCAGGAGCAAGAACGCTACTAGGGGCTCCTGGCATCGCTACTAGGAGCAAGGACGCTACTAGGAGCTTTTGAAGAACTATGGCAACTGTCAGAAAGGGTGGGAGTGACACATTGTCCTGCCCAGGGAATCGTGCTTTCTCGTTCAGCTGGGGGTTCTATGCATTAGGTCGCTAGATTTCGCTAGAATGTACCAGGAATGAAGTTTGAAAGGAAAGGCATAGGAAAGCTCAAGGTTTGCCGCAGTTGGGATCTGGTCGAAAAGTGTTCTTCCAAAAATGGCTGAAAATCGTGTTCACATGGGGGCCCGCTACATATTCTTCACTTTTGGCACACACAGCTGGTTAATGAAGGAAGCATGGACCAAACAAGAATTGGCGCAAAATTGTAAGAGGCGTCACAAGCGCTGCACCGTTTTCAGCTGATCTCCGAGCTTCAAGCCATGCTTGAAACGAAAGACATGTTGCAAGTCAGCCTTGGAAGGGTCCACGCTGGACTCTGGCAATTTTTGCAAGCGCGGATCTAGCGCAGTGCTAGCGCGCGGCTAGCGCATTTTTCAGCCAGCCACTTTTCAAAACCTGACGATGTTCTGAACATGTCCTAAGGCAAACACTAGCGCAAGTCTACCGCAAACCTAGCGCCCAGCTGCAGAATAGGTGTGTTTAGCTGGGGGCCCGCTACATAATCTAATTGAAAAAACAACATCATAAGCTACTTTCGACCCCTTTATCTATTTGTTTGATTATATACTTTTGGCCGGACTCCTGACATGTTGCATATGGTGACCTTGGGCAAGGGATGGTAACCTGTTGATTATCACGCAAAAAGAACATCAGTATCGCCCGTGGATGCAAAGGCCTGCAACGGTTGGTTGCACTGCCCAAACCTTCCAAAATGGTTGGCACCAGCGTGTATGGCTGCAATTCACACGTTGCTCAAAAACAATCCATTTTGGACGACCTCTTCCCATGGTTTGGCCTGTGGTTCGACCAAATGCACCCACCATCTCCCATGCTTTGTCTAAGCGCTGTACACCTGCTAACTGCCGAATCTGACAGCGGTGGCAGCAAATCCTGCAGTCCATCAAGACGAACATGGAAAAACATGGAAAAACAATCATCTGAGACCTTCTTGGCTTCTTGGGGTGACATACGGTGACATATGCGAGAGAATCGCCATCTACGGCGCTTGGCAAACATGATCGAAACAATTTGTTCAAAGTAGACTTTTCTCCTTCTTGGTGAGCCAAGGTAGATGGGGCGGCCATTTGACGATAGCATCTTTGTGTAGCCTAAGGAAGTGTGTGTAAAGAGGAGAATGACGCTGTAGTACACAGTAATATGTTGTGGGTTTGTCTCACAATGGGGAGCCATGAAACCTATGAAGGCACTCCATCAGAGTCTATGAGTCTATGACTTGAAAGAGACTGCAGATCCTCTTGGCAGCTGAAACCGTCTCCACCAGCCTTCCCTAGGCTCACTCCCCCCCCCCAAAAAAAAATCCACTATGTGACTATGTGTGATTGGGCTTTGCCCTTGCCTTGATGGTTGGACTGGTGGCGACATCTGGTTTACTGTTCCCTTCACCAAGGTAACACTATTGCAATGCTGCAGTTCATACTGACAGGTGTGGCTGGCTCCATTTCTACCCTACAGGCAAATGCAGCAGTCACGAAAAAAATGTGCCTCCAATGCCTCAAAGGATTTGCAAAGCACTTCATCAGTTTTCATCGCCAAAGCTGTTTCGCATCGTGACTATACCGTTTCGCATCGTTCGTAGCCTAAAGTGTAATCCAAGTTCAGTGACGTCCCGGCGACGTCCCGCACGTAGCTACTAGTAACAAGGGCATCGCTACTAGGGGCTCCTGGCATCGCTACTAGGAGCAAGGACTCCACTAGGGGCTCCTGGCCGTACTACTAGGAGCAAGAAGCTACTAGACACGTTCTCCCCACCCGGCGAACTGCCTTCGCTTTGGGCGGCTCGTTTCACAGGAGGCCGAGCTCTTGACCAAGTTCGTCGCATGCTTCGGCTTCGGCTTCCTGGGAAAAATCGTGACAAGACGGTGAGACCGCGGTCTTGACCCAAGAAGAGTGCGTCGTCCAGAATCCTTTTGTGTGAAGATCGCCTATTCTTTGACAGCCAAACTGGGTGACTGGTTCCATGGTGACTGGCGTGCACCCGCTTGTGACTGAACGCATGCTGTCGTCGTTCATGGATATTTGGAGATCTTGTTGAGAAGACCTGGCCAGTCCGAATACGAAGAACGATGCAGGTCTGACACCGGTGAAAAGTCGACATCCCTTGAAGCGTAACCGTAAATATCCATAAACACCATAAGGGACTCAGTATATAAGGGAAATAGTATGAATAGTATCATCCAAGCTTCCTTATCCGCCTTCTTCTTCTTCTCTCCCTCACTGCTTTCCGATTCATCGAAGGCCGAGGTGTCCAGGGCACTCTTCCTGTTTCGGCGCAGCAAGACCAATGGATTAGCCAGTACCTTGTGTTCCAAGCATTTCCTATGGCCGTCACTGCGAACAATATCCCGCTTTATTATGGCACCCGATGATTAAACGGATGCTATGTATAGCAATCCAAGACATGTTTGAATGGCCCCCATGTTCTAATTGTTTCGGGTGATTCTATGTCTCTTTACCCTACAGAGAAACATGAAATCTCCTGCAAAATTGCGCAGCAACTATGAACGACTGGATCATCATTGTTTTTGCCGACTATATGGATCTTGGACAAGTTGGTATCTCAAGCTGCTGTTCTATCTAATTGGGAGTGACCATGACCATAGGCAGCACAATGCAGCACAGAATCATGTATACTGTATACTGCAATGGGCCACTGTGATAGTTTAAGCCTAAGCTGAGCGTCTGCCCGCCGAACTTGTAATCGAGTTCCATCTTGGCCACATTGCACTTCACAATCTTTTCTTCGATCGTGTCCTCAGTGCCGGTGAACCCAGAACCCGGGTTTCCCCTGCTCCAAGCCAAGCAAATTCAAAACACTAAAGGGCAAACTAACTGTTCTTCCGACAAAAGCTCCTACAACAAGAACTTTCATGAACCTGCAGGAGGCTCCCTGTTTCGGCAGTGCGTATTTGCGTTCATTTCTCGATTATGGAAAAGATTTAAACATATGAAAAGGTTGGTTTGGAATGTGTTGGATGCTTTTCTTGCTGCAGTGCTTTGAGTCCCCCGTCCCTGTCAAAGCTGGAAACCAAGGTGTTCATGATTTTCGCGCCCAAGGCCCCCAAAAAGTAAAAAAACGCAAACACACACCGGAGGTCGCATGGGAATGCAAGTGATGGAGGCACCTCAACTGCTACAGAGTATGGGTAAAAAAAGTTGAAAAGCTGAGCTTGCCTGGCTCCCTTCAGCGGTATGTGATAGAATCGGATAGAATTGTGTCTTTCAGGAAATTGGCCGATCCTTCGTCTCACCCGATTCGCTGCTCAGCTCGCGGCGGCAGTGGTGAGGTAGGTCACCGTGACCGGCTGCTGCTGCCCTAGGCGATGTGCACGGTCTTCGGCTTGACGGTTGTCTTGAGGGTTCCAGGACAAGTCCTGGCAAAGGCGTTGACCGACGGAGAAACGGTCGCACAGCTTCGGTCATCATGGCGGCACAACACGATGCGTTCGGGTTGTGAGAGGGTGCGAAGGACAAAGCATGGTCAAACCATGTCAAACCGGAGTTTTCATGAGTTTTCAAGGCTTGATTCTTGCATGTGGCACAGGTGAAAAACCTGCGACAACCGGGGTTTTTGGACACCGATGAGTATATGAGTGCAAAATCAAGCTGCGGCCTGAAAGCCCAGCCAAAACTGTCCCGTGACTCACTATGACTTGCAGCGCAAAGGAGCAAACAAATGCAAAAACAACGTATCCGGGATGAAAAAACACTGTCACCATCGCAGTTTGTGATGCAAGAGAATCCATTCAGTTGCCGGTCCATCAGCACCACGCGGTTCGCCGCAGTCAGGTTGAGGCCAGTCCCTCAGGCCAAGCATCGAACGGTCGATCGAAAAAGACACGGAAAAGGAAGGCCAACCGCTGGGCTTTAGTGCATTTTTCCTCGTGCCAGCTGCGCTGCACGACAGCAAGCTCGCAAATCTTACGGAGCAGCCACGAACTGTGACAGGCTTTGGAAGTTGGTGACACCGAGGAGACTGTCAAGTCTATTGGCAAAAAGGTCTACTGTAATTGTGCACCACCAAGTGTCCTCGTTCTATACGCAGTGTTATTCCAGTAGGTGGAGGTAGACTAGACGTTACGTGCTCCGAGCGAGGCAGTCTATAAACACACTGGCCTGAAGCCAGTAAATTTTAAACTGATGTTCCAAGGTGGAAGACAGCTGGACTTTAAAGTGGTGTTCTCCCAGTTTCAATGTCCACCCACCCACATTTAAAAAACGAGCCATTGCTCGCCGTGCGAATATTACTGAATCTGAACTAACTAGAAAGTGCCCGTGCACTCAGCATTTCCTTTCAAGGTTTAACAAAATTCAAGCTGGCTGAAGCAAAAGACAATGCAACCGAGGAGACCCCATGTCGAGGTCTAGTGACTATAGTGGGTTGACTCTATCAACAGAAGCAACACTTAAACTCGCAGCGACTATACTGTTTCTCATGTTTCTTTGCACCAGCATGGGTACGTAAAACATGTCCTGGGTGTTGCTGCTCCAACAAAGCTGCCCACCACCACGTCATCCCCTGGTGGCGATTCCTTGTGCAACCACCCAAATTTGATGCGCCCGCCCTGCTGTGCACCGAGCGTCCACCTGCCTTCATGGATAAAAGAAAAACATCTACGCCAGAGCCTCCCAGCATTGGACCCAATTCCGCAACTGCGGGTTGAGGACTTGGAGGGGGACTGAGATATAACATTCACATAAATTCACTGGATATATCGAACGGATACGTGGATAAGCGCTCAGCTCAGACCTGACCTTCCACAAGGGAAAAGAACTTCAAACTTGAATGGGCTACCATGGATGATTTGGTTTGCATGCAGTTTCACAAACTTAACATGGCCAAGGCTTTGACACGTGGCCATGTGGCCATGGTGGTACAATGTGGTATGGCATGGCTTTAAAACGATACCAGTGTGCAATGCAAATGATGCAGTGCGAGAGTAACTTATAGACAAAATTGTGCCCTAGAGAAACACATGATATGACCAACCAGTCGTGATAATCCTGTGAAGGCAAGTCTCTTCATGATCACAAATGTCACTCACACACGTTCCTTTTCTTCTTTCACAAAAAGTAAACACGGACTCCGATCAGTTCATTCCCACCCAAATGGATAGATCCATTTTCACTCTGTTCGCTGCCTTCCTTCTGGAAGAGGTCGATGGAGCTCTGTCGATCTTCCAGCTTGCAGGTTCCATCCAAGCGCGCGTATCGAATCCTCACAGCGCCGCCGACACAGCGCGCTCGTTGGCGACCCTGCTGCATTGCTGGAGGATCCTGGACTGCTGATCGCCCGAAATTCTTAGAGACACCGGCCACAAGAGGGAAACCTGACAAGTTCAAGAAGTGTTACCCACTTGAAATCCCCTTCCAACCTTCCTGTACCAAAACCGCATTGGTTGACTCCAGTCTGCAAAAATGCACTTGGGTCGGCTGTGCTTTGTTGAATTTTGTTGATCTTCATTTGGACCTAGTACCTAGTTTAGTATTTATGTTGAGGATTGTTGAGGTCATATTTGGCTTGACTGTGTTGGCCAGGCTTCCGCAAGCAAACTTCACGAACAGAGTCTAGAGCAAATTCATGCAAATTCTGTGCACACATCCGCCGGTGGTTTACGGCACAGTGCAGAATTGACTTCTTTGGTGGGATTGGACAGAGCATAGAGAACACACCTCACTCGGCATTGCCAGTGCCTTCCACGATAATGACTTGTCTCAATTTGCATGTGTCTTCAACAGTTGACGGCCCAATCGCCCCACCAACCACCCATTCAAGCGTCTCGTGCAAGTTCAGAGCTGTTTCAATGATGTCTAAGTACCTGTGGGCGGTTCGAATGGTGAATTCACGGGGTTGTGAATTTCTCACCCCTCTCGAAGATTGCCAGCAACCACTATAGTCAAATGTCTGGGAAGAAAATGACTGACGATTAGGTCGTGCGAATACAGCCTGACACTCCCTCTTCAGAATGCAAAAAGAGAGGTCCATGGTTTTAAGGCGCTTGTATGCGCTTGTGTCACACGTGTATAGATGCAATTTGGAAAGAAAAAGACATTTGGCCCGAAAATTGGGGAACTCTCTGAGTTGCGAACTTGTGAGTGATGTCATGTGATGTCAATGTCGTCAGTACCCGAGAACTGTTAGTTTTTTTCTTGGAATGGGTGGTCGAGGGTCCGTTTGGACCCGCGGTAAGGGTTCCCATCTCGAAAAGGACTCAGACTGGAAATGTTACAGCGGCAACATGGAGTCGCGTGCCGCGCCATCAAAAATGGAGTCACGCCACGCTGATCTCTTCATGAAAGCCCACCGCAACGCTAAACCTGAGATTGCCTGACTGCTTCTTGTTGCTCTATCCAGGAGGCTATAGAGCAAGTGCTGAATTCGAACAATAATGACTCTTAGCTTTTGCTGGTCAGATGCCTCAACGCTTCCACACCTGGCGGAACTAGGACCCAAGAATATCGCTTTCACTGGAGGAATGCTAATGAGCAAGTGCCAAACATTCTAGTGATAATAGGATCATGTACGATCTCCCTTAAATAAAAATAAACTCCCTGCAACCTATCTATCGAACCGGCGGGCATCCAGTCTCCCCTTCCCACAACCTCGCCAGAACCCCACTTCGAGCCCACTTGATTGGCAGTATATCCAGTGCTCACTGTCACAAAGGGCAATGAAAACGGCCATAAGATGTTGCTTGTTCCACCAACATCACGTTTGCTTCAGTAAAGTGTTGATCATTGTATAAGTTTTGGCAACCAAGGGAGCCTCGTTCTCTTCCTGATGAACTTTGCCTGGTTACATGGTGAATTGCGAAAAAACCAAGGTCTTCTGCTTTGCAGCGCGCTGGCCTGCGCATGTCAGCCGCGAGTTGTGCGTGGATGCAACGGTCTGTGTTGCGATCATCAAGGGGAACAGGAGAACTCTGTTGTTATCCATTCAACATGTTCAAAAATAATTGGAAACCAACAATCCAAAAATTGACATTGGTTTCTCTATATGGTCTGCTGTGGAACATGGGATATTGCACGAAAACATGCGTGTTGACTTCCCAGTGTCAACAGGTGGGTGTGGCCAAACCGAAATTGAAAACACATTTAAACTACATATTATATAGTCTATAGTGAGTTCTTGGCATCCTGGGGTGGGCAACACGGGGTGGCCAAAGTAGTAGCTGTCTGTCCATCACACTTTCCAAAAATCATTAAAACATTTGCGAAACATGAATACCCAAAGCTACCAAGATCTTCCGGTCACGTGTGGGTCAAGAACAAACTCAGTCAAGTCCATCTATGGCCCCCTGGTGATAGTTACGTTCACAGTCAAATCTTGAAGTCCTTTTGTTGTTCTAGTTCTACCCAACTGCAAAAATAGTGCGTGATCGACAAATCATACACCATAGATCAGGTTTTTAATGGTTTTAACATAGGCATTTACTGTGCCCTGTGCCTGTAGAACCTGTAACATGTTTGATTTTTTGGGGGGGGGACCCCCAGTCCCAGCTGTCCTGGCCATAATATGGTTCAGTGGCTCATTGTCAATACGCTGAACAACTCCTGTAGTGTCTGTGAGGTAGTCACCTTGCCGGAAAAAGGCACAACATTCCAAACCACCATTTATTTGGCACCCAAAAGTCCCTGTTTCCAAACAGTTCGGCGCCTTGCAAGATTTGAAGAAGCTCCTTCAGCTTGGCCGAATTCATCAAATCCTCCCGGGTGATCTGGAACTTCCGAGCTTCCACACCCATCGCCTCCAACGAAACGCGTGTCCAAAAATGGGACCGCAACGTCGAGCTTTGGTTCTCAAAGGGGTCTTGACATCATTCAATTGAAATCTTCTTTCGTGGATCATGCCTGAAATCCAGCGTGGCATAGCTTGGCTATATCTTCGACAGCGTGTAGGTGGTGCGACCATTTGCTTTGGTGAAGGCGTGCTTGCAGCTTAAAGGAACAATACCCCGACAAGAGACCCCAAACATTATGTGTGAGGTCTAGAGGTGTAGTAGCAGAAAGTCTAGGGGTCTAGACGCATTGGGTTTCAGAGAGGTGATGGTGGTGACGAAGGTGGAGATCGTGGTGATGGTGGCGGTGGTGGTGAGTGAGTCACCTGTTGTGAGTGTGAGTGAGAGTGAGACTGGGTGAGTGAGAGTGAGAGTGGGAGTGTGAGTGTGAGTGAGAGTGTGGGTGTGACTAAAAATCTCTGAGCCCTCTGCCGATGTCCAAAATTTTCTTCTTCCGCCCCGTCTTCATCGATGTCGGTACCTGGAGCCAACAACATGTAGTCACTGTAGGATTATGGCCGCATCTTGTCTCAGGTCCAGACTGCGACCCCACTCTGTAGCCACTCCAACTCCTGAAAGCGTACTAGGGTCAGCTTGCAATCCGTCACCGAAAGAAGCATTTTGCACGAAGAATTCTTAACTGTGGCGGGAACTTCCAGGCGCACAACTGGGAAGGGAAACGGCTGAAGTTTCCGAGTGGTAGTAACCCCGACCTCCATGTTCATTTCCAAGGTTTGCGCCGACCAAGCATCGGTCGCATTCCAAGCCTGGAAAGGCAACTGCTTCGGAAGGCCAACCCGCAGTGAGTGAGAGTGAGTGAGTGAGAGTGAGTGAGAGTGAGAGAGTGAGTGAGTGAGTGAGTGAGGGTGAGTGTGAGTGAGTGTGAGTGAGAGTGCGTGAGAGTGAGTGAGAGTGAGTGAGAGTGAGTAAGAGTGAGTGAGAGTGAGTGAGAGTGAGTGAGAGTGAGTGAGTGTGAATGAGTGTGAGTGAGTGAGTGTGAACGAGTGAGTGTGAATGAGTGAGTGTGAGTGAGTGAGAGTGAGTGAGTGTGAGTGAGTGTGAATGAGTGAGTGAGTGTGAATGAGTGAGTGTGAATCAGTGAGTGTGAATCAGCGAGTGTGAATCAGTGAGTGTGAGTGAGTGAGTGAGGGAGTGAGCGAGGGAGTGAGCGAGGGAGTGCGTGAGTAAGTGAGTGAGTGTGCGTGTGTGAGTGAGTGTGTGTGTGTGTGTGAGTGAGTGTGAGTGAGTGAGTGAGTGAGTG